ACTCATTTTCCTAACCTCCCTTGCGGGTAGAAATGGTCATGTGACCCAGTTCTGGTCAATGAGATAGAGGGGGAAGTCTGCAGGGTAACTTCTGGAAGAGTTTTTTCTCTCCTAAAAGGAGAACTTTTTGTCTTGCCTTGAATGTGTTGAGCACAAACATGATGTTGTCCTGAGGCAGCCATCTTGCAAACCACATGGTGACTAGCCTGCAGATTGAAAGTCAAAGTGCCAAGGAGAGCAGAAAGAGAATAAACCTGGGTACACTTGTGTGATACTGTGATTTTGAATAAGAAATGTATATTTGGTCTTCAGCCATTCCTGGCACAGAGCTCCTAAAACCTTTGGAATCTCCTGTGAGGAGAACCATAAAGGTGTCTTTTGTTATGTTAATGAGGCTACTCTTGGGTTACCTAAGGATGGGGGCAGGTTGTCAGAGAAACCAACCAGGAATAGAGGGTTGGAACTTTTAGTCCCGTCCTCTGATTTCCAGGAAGAAGAAAGGGGCTGCAGGTTGAATCAGTCCCCAATGGCGAATGGTGGGAGTCAATCATGCCTACATAATAAAGTCTCCATAAAAACCCCAAAGAAGGAGATTTGGAGAACTTCCAGGCTGGGGAACTGGAACCCTTCCATGAGCCACTGTGCCAGACCCCAAGCTCCACGAGGAGAGAGGCTCCTTAGTCAGGGGCCTTGTCCTGTGTCTCTCTTCTTCTGGCTGTTGATTCATACCCTTTAATATCCTTTGTAATAAACCGGTAATCTAGTGAGTAAACAGGTTTCCTGAGTTCAATGAGCTGTTCTAGCAAAATAATCAAGCCCGAAGAGGGGTTCATGGGAACTTCTGATTAATAGTCAGTCAGAAGCACAGGTAACAACTTGGACTTGTGATTGGCGTCTGAAGTGCAGGGCAGTCTCGTGGGGTTGAGCCCTTAACCCGTGGCATCTGATGCCATCTCTGGATAGGAAGTGTCAGAACGGAGCTGACTTGTTGGCCACCCAGCTGGTGTCGGAGAATTACTTGGTGGGGTGGGAAAAAATCCACACATCCGAATTGGTACCAGCATCCTTAACTTGTAATTGGGGAACTGATGCACCAAATCTGAAGCACCCTTCCTCCAGGCTTCTTGCTTTGCAAGGTAAGTAGGCGTCGAATTCTTAAGCCACTGTGAGTCAGTGCTGTGGGCAGTGTCCATTTGCTTGGCCTCCTGTTCCACATGGAAGGACTTCAGCTACAGTACCACTCCAGACCTCTACCCCCACTGCTCAAGCAGACAAGTGGACCTACGAGAAAGGACTGAGCTCCTTCAGCTCGGACTCCTTCTCCCATTTGAAACCCCCTGTTGCAGGGAGGGGCGCTCTGTGACTCAGCAAGGTTCGTAGGGCAGACCCCAG